GTTTTTTTTTGTTATTATTTTGGGGGGGGGGTTTTTTTTGGGGGGGTTTTCGGAATCCCATTTTGAAACCCTTGGAAACCGTTCGGCGCCTTTTTTTTTTGGGTTTTTTTTTGGACCCCCGGTTTTGATTTTTTTTTTTTTTCCCGGGTTTGGGGGTTTTTTTGGTTTTTTTGGGTGGTCCAAATTTTTTTTTTGGGGATTTGGGGGCCCATTTTTTTTTTTAATGTCCTTTTTGATTTTCCCCTTTTGTTTCTTTTTTCGGGTTCATTGGGGGAAACGCGGTTTTTGTTTCCCGGTTTTTTTTTTTTTAGGAATCCCGGGTTTTTTTTTTTTGGGGGGGATTTTTCCCCCCCCCCCCCCCCGCGTCCTCAACCCCCGCGCCCCCCTGTCTCTATTCGCCCCTTTTGGGGGTGGACTGCGAGTTGATTGCTCTTTGGCATACGGTGATATGCCGTGCGGCGTGTGTGGAAAATTGTGCTGGTTCAGAGGAAGAGAGGACAAGGAGAAGAACCCATGACCAAATAGATTTGCGAGGAGCAAAGTTTACCCTCTACGTCCCTGTAGAGACCGTGGTGCTTCTGGTGATGCGGCGGTGTGGCGTCGCTTTTAAAGAAGTCAGTCGGGGGGGCACCGGGGAGGGGGAAAACTAGCTTGCTGAACATACTGATCGTGTTGGCGCAGGGGAGGGGGAGGTGTTGTCATAGAACGAAACAAGAGACGTGCTTGGCGCGATCAAGACGCGGCATGCATTCCATATGTTTGCAATTTGTGTTGATTTTGTTCTGGTTCGTTTTAGTGTTTTGGTGCCTGTCTGTCTGTTCTCTCTTTAGGCCTTTTTTTTGTGGTTAACGTACGTAAACTTTTGCATATAGTTGTTATACCAGCACTGCCGTCGGAGTTGAAGTGTTTTTTACACACCTTAAAGTGCTGCTATGTTTGCCTTAGATTTGACGTGTTTTCTTTTTAGTTTCATCTCGCGTCCCCAGGACTGGATTGGTTTGTCGAATGAATGTCTGGTTGTCTCGCCCCCCGCCCCCGCCCCGGCCCCCTGCCTCCAACAGTTGGTTGCAGGCTAAGGAGAATTGCACGATGTTTTTTTGGGTTGATGTTTTAGCCGGAAGGGCGTTGTTGGCAAAAGTTGCCCTTTTTTTCCCCAGGCACGCGCTCCCTGTATAGCGTACCGCGTTGGTTCCCGTTTTGGGTGTGTGTATTTTTTTGTGTCCTGAGTTTGGGGTTCACACGTGCGGCGAACGCGCTCGCGCTCCTGTTTTTATTTTTTTTGGCCATTCGGCTGAGAGCGTGAGGGTGGGTGTCTCGTTTGGGTAAAAACTCGGATGGACACGGTCGGTACAGGCAAAGCCTGACGTTCATTCAGATTCGACGGTATGTCGAAGAAATAGTATCGGAAATTGGGAAGGGGGGGGGGAAATGCGTTTTCGCTCGGTCACCCTGTCTGAGGCTTTGTTGTTGACGACTTGGGTCGATTTTTTGTGAGCTTTGTATTGTTCTTGCGTCACGTTGGGTGGCTTTGTTGCAGTCTTGTATTTCTCGGATCTGAATCGTTCGTTTTGCGGTTATGTTTCTTTCTCGCGTACACCACCGTATTGATATAGAGTTCGGCCAATCAATGGCTGATTCGGTTGTTTGTTCAGTTCAGGTGTTTGTTGAAGCCAAGTGGAAAGCAAAAGTTGTAGCGGCTCTTCTCCGCACATGTAGGCGGCCCGCCCTACTCTCGTTTCTCGAGTGTCAAAGAGTTTGGAAAAAGTGGAAATTATAGATTAGTAGCGGTTATAGTTGAAAAAGATGAGTAACGAAATAGGTATCATTTGTCGGGAATGGGTGTGTTTGAAGTCACAAACTGAACTGTTGCAGGGACCGACGCGAAAAAAGGAAAGAGGCGTGTAGGATGGACAAACGAGGAGGAAGAGCAGGAGAGGGCAAGATTGGGTTGTGGATGACTTTGCTAAAAAAAATCAGCCACGATTGGAAATAATAGGTGGTTGTGTGGTATGTAAAGGGAGGTTTTTTAGAGTGTGACCAGGGACCTTGTTCAGCTCCGGCCGGGCGAAGCAAATCGCCCACGTTGTTCAACAAGTACTCAAGCGGCACCATTTAGCTACATTAAACTCGTCAACCACCTGTGAGCCGACAACTCTGATCGGGCTGGGTCGGTTTGGGTTGTTCACGTCCAGGTGTTGGTCCAGCCGCAGGCACCGCCTTTTAGTCTTTTTATTCTGTACTGGTGTTTTGAATGTGGTGGTTCTATGTGAAGGGTGGACATTCCACTGAAGCACTTCATCGATGTTGATTTCGTCGTCGTCGGGTGGTGAGGGGGAACGGGAAAAGGGGGGTGTACATCGTTTTTGGTGGTATTCGGGCAGAACGACGCTGACCATGTGAAAGTCGTATCAAGCGTCTACGAAAGCTACTTAGCGGTTGGCCTTAGTTAAGTTAAAATCACACACACACACATGCCGAGGTAGGTAGGCCAGTTACGGCGGCGGCAGGGTGAACCTCGTGCGTGAACATACGGAGCGAGGGAGATGCGAGTGACAGTGTTCTTGTAAGAATTGGTCGAGAAATGCCAAGAGGCACGCTCGCAGCTCCCCATGGTTCTGTTTGGTGTCACCGACAGCATTCATTCGTTTTCGGTCGGCACTCGTATGTTCACTCGCAAGGATCGGGTTGTTTCCAGCGGAGTTGTAGTGGCGGGAGCGACGGTCAATTCACCTCCGGGCACGTCGTCTTGTATGCTATCCATCGAGGGTTTCCGGGAGTGTGGGTGACTTTTGGCGGGCGATCGCGAGTTTTTCTTCCTATGCATACTCGCTCTTGGATGGGTTCTCTCAATCCTGCGGAGAGAGTACGTTAAATTTACGATCACCATGCCTCATTTTTTTTGTATCAAACGTAAGGGGAGAAGGCTGCCAACGGGGGAGGGGGAGGGGGGGCGGGGGGTTCTCACACGAATCGCAGCGAGAGCTGGTGGCTTTGTTAGGCGTAATTGGCTCGGTCGACGCAGCAGGTAGATTCGGTGTGAGGAGCGAGAAGAAGGCAGACGGCCACAGGCAGTTAAGTTGGTTGGTGACCTTCGGTCTTTTACCATGATCAAAAGGAAAACGTTATCGTGTGCAACGAACGATCGGTCGGTCTGCTGAGCGTAACCGCGCGTCA